GTGTACACCATCTCAAAAAGGGTGGAGAAGCTTAAAATCTGAGTACATACAGCAGATAATGACACTGTGTATCAGTAGTGGGAAATGCAAAACAAGAACTCTGGAAAGAAGCCCAGGCCTAGATGGTTTCACTGGTAAATACCAAGAGAAATTTAAGGACCAATGTTCGGTCTTAAATTTTTGTATTTTGAAATTTTCAATTCTTCCCAGTATTTTTTAAAGGTGTGTGTGTATGTGTAAATCTTTCACCTCACCTACGAGTCCAGTATTACCACCCTGACATCAAAACGGGTGAAGCAGGCTGGGGAGGAGAGGAGGCATTATGAGCATGTGCTGCCTTGGAGAGCGCCCACATCAAGTGAGCCGCCTGTAACCAGCTCTGGGTCGCCCAGCACTTCTGACATTGGAGAACACCTGCACTCCTGTGGTGCACACGAGTTAAAAGACAGCTCAGTGGTTAAGAGCTCTGGCTGCCCTTGCAGAGGACCTGGGTTCTGATCCTAACACCAACATGGAACCTCTCAGCAGGCTGACTCCAGTTCTAGCAGGATACCCAACACTTGCCTCTCAAGGCACCAGCCACCACGTGTGGCACAAACACTTATCCACATAAAATATAAATCTCGAAAACCACTGATAAAATGTATTGTCTTTTTGTGATTGGAAACAATCTACAACTAGCTGGCCATGGTACATGCTGGGACTTTAACCCCAGCATCAGGAGGCAGAGGCAAGTGGGTCTCTTTGAGTCAAGGCCAGCCTGGTCTAAAGAGTTCTTGGCTAGCCAAGGCTACATTGAGACCCTGTCTCAAACCCTATTTCTAGTGTTTGTAAAACAAACAAAAATACCCTGTAGTATTCCTTTGCTTAACATTTTATGAAAACATTTCTCTCATCAGTTGTCCTGTGTTGGGTTGGATTCAGAAAGGCAAGGCACATTCTTGATTACTTCTTTCATCCAGTTTCAATATATTAAGTTAGTTTCTTTGCATCCTTTGGTCAAAGATTATCTAATAAGCCTTTTTTTTTTTTTTTTTTTTTTTTTTTTTTTTTGCCCAGGATCAAGGACATGAATTTATACACACTGGGTAAGGTTTGTTCATTACTGTTAACATTCAAAAATAGTTTGATCTATGGCCCATGTATCTTTGAGGCGGTCCTGCTAGTCACTGGTAACTTCTTTTCTGGTATGAAAAGTTGTTGTCTTTTATGTTTTCTACATGAGGCCTGTACTTAGCTATTCATTCAAAGATTTTTGGTTCTTAAAGTAGGAGACCAAACATATATAAAATTCAGGAAGGAACGCTTTTAACTACTGTCAGGTTCTAGGTCATTTCAGGGGACAGAAGTGAGAGTTTCTCCTAAAGATAAAATACATCTATGGTGTTTTTAAAGGAAAATGTTCCCTATAGTCTTAGACGTTTGAATGCTGGGTCCTCAGTTTGTAAGCGCTGTTTGGGAAGGCTTAGAAGGGGGGTGTAGCCTTGTTGGAGGAAGTGGGAACTAGCTTTGAAGTTTCAAAGACCCATACTGTTCCCCTTTCTCCTTTCCCTTCCTTTTCTCCCCCTCTCCCCCTCTCCCTTTCTGTCTCCTTGTGCTTGCCTTTCAAGAGGTGAGCTCACAGCTTCTGCTCCAGCTGCCCTACTACTTAGGGTCACTTGGGCCCCTGAACCATAAGCCAGATGAGCCCTTCTATAGGTTATCTCGGTCGGGGTGTTTTATCCCAGCAGTGGAAAAGTAGCTAATACGTTAAATGTTGAAAGTTCAGTTTTCATTTGAACCCTATGGTTTTTGCTTAAAATTAATGGTCTGAAGTCAGTACCTCCCTTTAACTTGGCCAGAAAAACTTGGGTTTTAATTGATTTAAAAAAAAATAATAATAATAATAATAACCCCTTCATCCCCAAGAACGGGACTGGCCTTTTGCATATAGGCTAGTCCTCTACTACTGAGCTAAATTCCCAGCTTATGATTAGTTCATACAACTTCGACCGCACGGTAGCTGGCCTCGGTACAGCAGTGCCATCACTAAGAAATATGTATTGTTTTTGAGCAGTTCTTGTCCTTTGGGGGCACACACTTCCACACAAGGGTATGGTTAAACTGCCAGCCTTTTCCATAATACGCATTACTTCTGTTGTGCCTGTCTTCAGGAACAGAGTTAACTTTTTTTTTTAATTTTTTATTAATTACACTTTATTTATTTTGTATCCCCCCATAAGCCCCTCCCTCCTTCCCTCCCAATCCCACCCTCCCCTTTCTGCATGCATGCCCCTCCCCAAGTCCACTGATAGGGGAGGTTCTCCTCTCCTTTCTGATCTTAGTCTATCAGTTCTCATCAAAAGTGGCTGCATTGTCCTCTTCTGTGGCCTGGTAAGGCTGCTTCCCCCTCATGGGGGGGGGATGATCAAAGAGCAGGCCAATCAGATTATGTCAGAGGCAGTCCCTCTTCCCATTACTATGTAACCCACTTGGACACTGAACTGCCATGGGCTACATCTATGCAGGGGTTCTAGGTTATCTCCATGAATAGTCCTTGGTTGGAGTATGAGTCTCTGGGAAGTTCCCTGTGTTCAAATTTTCTTGTTCTGTTGCTCTCCTTGTGGAGTTCCTGTCCTCTCCAGCTCTTACTATTTCCCACTTCTTACATAAAATTCCATTCACTCTGCCCCATAGTTGGCCATCAGGCTCAGCATCTGCTTTGATAGTCTGCAGGGCAGAGGCATTCAGAGGCCCTCTGTGGCATGTTCCTAGTTTGTTTCCTGTTTTCTTCTTCTGGCTTTCAGAGGCCCTCTGTAGCAGGTTCCTAGGTTGTTTCCTGTTTTCTTCTTCTTCTGATGTCCATCCTCTTTGCCTTTCAGGATGGGGATTGAGCGTTTTAGTTAGGGTCCTCTCTCTTGCTTAGTTTCTTTAGATGCACAGATTTTAGTGGGTTTGTCCTATGTTGTATGTCTATATGAGTGAGTATATACTGTGTGTGTCTTTTTGCTTCTGGGACAACTCACTCAGGATGATCCTTTCCAGGTCCTACCATTTACCTGCAAATTTCATGATTTCCTTATTTTGCATTGCTGAGTAATACTCCATTGTATAGATGTACCACAATTTCTGCATCCATTCTTCAGTTGAGGGGCATCTGGGTTCTTAATGCCAACTTTTAGAGACTGTCTTTTAAAAAAAAAATTTTTTTTTTTTTTAATTTGGCTTCTGTAGTACTCTCAGTGGTTACAGTGGCAAATTAGCCAAATAAGATTTTTGAGGAAACAAAGCTGTTTAGTTCTTTTCTCCCAGATTGTTTTTAATAGTTTTCTGTTGTAGCCTGCCATTGAATTTTTTTTTTTTTTTTTTAAACAGAGACATCTTTCTTAAACAAACAGAACCTGTCTCATGATGAGTTCTCTGGGACACAGGCTTGTGTGCAGGAATTCTGTTGGCAAAGATGGAGGAATGTTGTAGCATTTGAAAGATGAAATTGGGAGCTGGAGCGAGGTGGTTAAGAATGCTTGCTGCTGTTACAGAGGACCTGACTTCAGCTCCCAGCACCCACACCGGGTAGCTCACAGTCACCTGTAGCTTCAGTTCTAAGAGATCAGGTACCTCCTGGCCTCCTTGGGCACTGGCACACATGTGCATGTCCCATTTTTAAAGGGAAAGATGAAATTCAGACAACAGATTGGTGGTGACACCTGTATGAATGGGGAGCATCCTTTAGGACGATGTACATCCCCTGAGTTAACCCTTCTGTGGTTGTGTGGGGAAAATTAAGGAATTAGTATTGGGCAAAGGGAAAGCGGAGGGGTAATGGAGTCACAGTCCTCAGACCACTGCCATGGGAGTGTGAAAACCCTTCAGATCTGTTTCCTCTTGAAGCTAGGAGTCCATCGGTCTTCATGACCTATACCAGAGAGCTGGAGACATAGAGGTAGAACCTACATCAGCTAGAAGGCAGACTCCCTCTTGCTCACTGTGACCTTGCAGTTCTTTGAGGGCAGAAAGCAACTCAGCTAGGGGCTGTCAGTTTTGCCAATACTCTCAAGAGCTGTAGAAAGGGCCTCTTGAAGGAAAACTGGGTGGCTGCTGCAGCATCCAGTACAGCCCGCCCAGCTCTACACTTCGCAATAACAGATTGGGGATCACCCTCAATCAGATGAGGATTTTGCTGGTGTCATTGCCCCAGGAATCTACAGGAGCAGTGTTGGGGCTTCAGCTGACCCCTAAGGTCTCTAAGCATTTCTCTCTTGCCATCCTGGGGGACAATCCCCCGTTTAAGGAGGGTATGGGAGCTGCCTCAGAGTAGGCTCTTTATCTGGTCCACGCCTGCCCACGCCCAGACCTATTGTGCTGTAGTGTACAATGTTCCCATGGCAATTTAGGGCATGGTTATCAGACAATCTACAGAGTCTAGACATGTTTTTGTTAACAAGTTATCCAGGGACATTCAGGGCGTCCCCACTCACTTCACCAGAGATGGCAAACAGTTCATCTTAGTGTTTGTGAGTCTTCAGACCAGTGTCTGTCTTCCACAAAGATTTATGCCTCTTGCCGACTGTAGAGGCAATGTATTGAAAATGAGATTCAAACCTCATTTTAGTCCAGTTGGCCTTTCCTCTACTCTAGTTGTGAACAAAATTGGAACTTCACAAAATTGTAAAGATTAAATCTCCGATTATTTTTATAATAATAGGAATGGAAAAATCCCAGCCCATTGGGATTAATGGTTTAAATGTTTAAGTGTAAAAGATCCAAGTAGCTTCATTTTCTCTCTCTCTCTCTCTCTCTCTCTCTCTCTCTCTCACACACACACACACACACACACACACACACACACACGTACGATGCCTTTGGCTTCCTATAGGGATTGGCTTTGAGGCAAGAAGACATCAACTGCAAAGCTGCTCTAGCTGTATTTATTAAGGTAGAGAAGAAGGGCGTGAGCATCAGGGGTTCCAGTTCTTCTTGAAGAATAACATCTTGTCGGGCAGAATTATTCCATGTTCACCTCAACCGAATACTGTCAGGGCCCCCTGGAAAAGAGAAGCCAAGCCTGAGAGTGCCCTTCACTGCTGCCTAGGAATGCTGAGCAGACCTGGGCACCTGAGCTTACTCAAGACAGGGGGGCATAGCTACTGGGGAGGGGTCCCTAAGACGTGCCATGGCCTGCTGACAGTCCGTTGTGCAAGGTACATCCTGAAGAATTCCTTCAGTTTTGTGAGGAGCAGGTCAGGAAGAAGGGCTCTGTGCTGCAGCCTGGGCTGCCTCTATATGATTGAAGGTGGCTAGGGAGGGGTACCCACACAAGAAGGAACAAGCATGCAAGGGAGTTGTCCATGTTACCAGCAGTGACTTCACAGCCCCCACAGTGTCAGGGCCCAGCTCGGTGATGCACTTCCTGGAACCCTCTATGAGAGGACCCACTGGGATGCCCAGGCTGGCCAGGATGAACCTCAGGATGCTCAAGTGGCTTGATGGTAAGCTAGGCACAGCCCCAGCCACAGCGTCTGCAGCTGGGGCAAGGGCAGCCACGGGTTCTACTGCTGGTTTGACCACCGATTTCACAAAGAAAGCGATACCTGCCAACACAAAGAAAGAACCTGAGGCCTTCTCAAGGATCCTCAAGATCCAACTCCTCCAGGGAGGGCCCCCAAGGGAGACCTCACAGCCACCCACCTACATCCTAATTGATGGCTTCCCTGTGTCTAGGGAGACGCCAACAGAAGTGAGGAAAAGTGGCCACAGGGAGGGCCCAGGGAGAAGATGGCTGCAGAGGGAGCCACAGGAGATGGGTATGGTTTTTAGAGTTGAGGACGTTCATACTGTGCTTTGATTGAGGAGACATTAACCAAATTGAGAGCAGGTGGGATGGCTGTTCTCAAGCTAGGGCTGGCCTTTAAACCAGCCATCAGCTGGCAGGTGAAGAGAAGCTGAAGGTGCGTAAATAAGTGAGGGCTAGCTCAAAGGCAGGGTAGGACGGACAGTAGGCTTTGAAGGCCACAGGAAAAAGAGGAAACCTTTGAAGGGAGAAGCAGAGGAGCATCTGGGTTTCTCTGTAGACGCCTGCTAGAAGAGCTACCGTCAGCAGCCTGGTGCACAAGAGGGGCCCTATAGGGTCAAAACCAGCTGAAGTTGGGGCCAGGAAAGAGCAGATACCAAAGGCAGGTCCTTCCATAGGAGATGCTAGGTCCCAAGGAAACTCACCGGAGTCACTGAGCAGAGCCACACAGAATACTAGAAAGGCGGTGGAAAGCTTCATGGTGGAATGAGACTTGGAAGATGCTCCCGGGACATAAGACACTTCCTGGAGCCTGGCCCTGGGGGCTTCATATATCCAGGAGTGGAACCTTACCCTCCTGAGAAATGTGTTGTTTACTCAGCTAATGGGCAGAACTACAGCCAATTTCCTCCTCTGGCCAGTGGACCCTGGGAGGACTGATTGCACATCCCGCCTCATTCCCGGGGATTTCCTCTTGGCAGGGTCTCCTGAACTCAAGTGCTGGCCCTTTCTTCCTGCAAGCAGGAACCCAGGATGTGCTTTGTCTCCGAAGGGCCCACCCAGGCCTACACCTTGATACTGTGGTCTGACCCCACCTCACCATGACCACAGTACAGGCCTGGGGCCATGTCTGTGGTGGGAACAGCTCCCCAAGGGTGAGGAAGGCCTGAGTGATTATGCAGATTCTGGGGCTAAGCCTGAAGAGTGTGTAAGTCAGCAGGTCCCAGGGACCCCAGATCTCTCAGTGAGCTAGTGGTACCTGGTCCCAGACTATGGAAATGTCACACAGTGACAGTGTTCCCAGCTTCTGCTGGTCTGGGAGCATCACTGTGAGCAGAAAGACATGCCTCATTGCTTGGCAGGGTAACCAGGCCTTACTCTTGACTACCTCCTTGGTAGTTGGACCACAGGATTATTAAAATAAAAATAAATAAATAAAAAGACCTGGTGCATTTTTTCTGTCTTGAAATTACTCTCCAAGGCAGCAGATGAGCTTGGTATATTTCAGAGTTTCTTTAAAAGCCCTTTCTTGTCTGCCACCTGCTGAAGTGTAGCAGAGAACAAAGCACAGACACTCCTCCACTAGGCTCATCAGTGGGGAGATCTGACTTCTAGTATTTGAGAATGCCTCTGCCACAGCAGATGAGCTTGCCTTGATTAAGAGAGGGGCCCCAGCTGCCTGCCCCTGAGCTGCTGCAAAGAGTTAGAGTGGGCAAACCCCACCTGTTTTCAGTCCATGGCTTGTGCCCGTTCTCACGCTGCCTCTGCCTCTGCCCATTCTTTACATCTTTTCCTGGGAGGCTTTTTGTTAGTCAGTGTAGAAGTGATTTCAGCAGGGAAATGAAATTTCAATTTAGGAGGCCGCACCTCCTCTTCGTGGCATTTCTGAGAGGATTGCCGTTTGTGAGGCTGTGCCTAGGGCATCTGTGTTACTGTGGATATCGTGGGCCCGCTGCCGCACCCAGAACACCCGAGCCTCCTCGGAAGCACACATTTGTGAAATGGACGTAGCTCTGACCAGCCACCTTCCTAAAAGGCCAAGCCTAACTGGCATGAGGTGCCCCCACCACCCCTTAATCTGTTGACTTTCTGTGATAACTGGAGTCTGAGAATATTAAACAGAAAAGCCCACGATTCTCAACCTTTTTAGGATTTTTATCAGGTGTAACTCACCTTGCTTTTCTTCTTCATCTTTACATTTATAAATACGAATGCAGATTGTCATATTGGTGGGTTTCACTGTGACATTTATTCACCCTCCCAATGTTCTTATTCTCCGTCTTCCTCCTCCACCTTGTCGATTCTGTTTTCAAGCTTTCTGTGTGTATGTATGTTCTAATTCTAGCTTTCATGTATGACAGAAAATATGCAATATCCACGAAAAGACATTATCTAGTCTATGTTTGTGTATTTTTTGTGCTGTCTTGCTGTTGGTTTCTGATTTTATTCTCTTATGATATGATCAGATGCAAGAGATTAATTAAATTATTTAGTACTTGCTAAGACTTGCTTTAGGTTGTAAAATATGTCTGTTTTGGAAAAGTTTCAGGAATGGGGAAAAGAAGCGAAGTCTATGTTCCTGCTGCTGTATGGAATATTCTGTAATGTCTGTTAATTCCAGTTAATCTAATGCAGTTTTCTCAACCTGTGGGTTGTGACCCCTTTGGGAGTCACACAGCCTTTCACAGGGGTCACACATCAGCTATCCTGCAGGTCAGATATTTACATCATGATTCATAACAGTAGCAAAATTACATGTATGAAGTAGCAATGAAAATAATTTTATGGTTAGGTCACCACGACATGAGGAACTGTATTAAAGCGTCCCAGCGTTAGGAAGGTGGAGAACCACGCCTCTCAAACACTGTGTTGTCCTTCTTAATTTACTCACCTGTTTGTTCGAATGGGCCTGACATGGCGGTGCACGCCTTTGGTCCTAGCACTCAGAAGGCAGAGGCAGGTCGATTTCTGTGAGTTTGATGCGAGCCTGGTCTACAGAGTGAGTTCTGGGAGAGCAAAGGTTGCACAGAGAAACCATGTCTCAAGCCAAATATGAATGAATGCATGAATGAATGAATGAAACCTTCTGAATTCTTTTTTTTTTTTTTTTTTTTTGTCCAGCATTTCATCCATTTTGGTATCTTTCGATTCTCAGTTACTAAAAAGCTATGACTTTTTAGCCCCTGAACCATGTTTCTTGTGTTTCTGGGTTGAGATTTGTGCATATGTTGGGGTGGATAATGTCCATTTTTTTGTGGGGGTCTCAGTGACTAACTTCTCTGGAGAACTCCATCCCCAGTACTGTCCAAAGAGAAAGCGGTGTTAACAAAAACAGTAAAAACAGATCAGATACAGTAATACATTTTTAAAAAAATCAAAAACAACTTCACCACTGACAATATTAAAGACACCAAAATGTAGAATAAATGAAAAATTAAAGTAAAGAAAAATCTATTACTAATAAAGAGAATGTTTGTGGGAAAAGAAAACAAGGAAGAAGCAACATCGTAAAAAGGCATAAAGATGAGAAAAGAATGAAAGAGAAGAATGAAAGGTTCTTTGAAATTTTATGCAGCCATCAAGATGTGAAATCATGTTTTCAGGAGAGAGATGCAGCTGGAAATCACTTTTAAGTGAAATAAGCATACAAAATAGCACACGTTTTCTCTCACATCAGATCCTAGATGTAAAACTGTGTTCTGGCAGGTGGGGGGGGGTAGGTTAGTTTTCAGGAAACTTCAAAGAGGTGATGACGGGAGGAAGATGCCTTAAGAGAAGTGGGGGGCAGAGGCCAGGTAATAGAGCAGAGGGGAGAGTGACCAACTAGAAAGGAAAACAGCCATAGTGGGAGAGCAGGGATGTGGGGTATGGGAAAAGAAGGAAAAGAGTAGTGTGCATTGACACGTGTATAAAGATACCACGGGGAAAATGACCGCTCTGGGTGCTAGTGTAGACTTTAACTCCAGAAACTACCGAAGTCCATTCCATCCCCACCATCACCCCACCTGTCGCTAGAACCCTTTATCCAGAAAGCGGAAATCTGTGCCCATTAAATACAAGCCCCTCTTCCTCTCTCCTTTGTGGTTCTTGGAAATCACCACCCTATCCTTGCCTCTTAGTTGACTCTAGACTCTGCCATACTGTCATGGGTCAAAGACTTCTGGTGAGCAAGGGCTGCTGTAACTAGACTCCGGCTTCTGGGATCGTTGTGTTTGTCGTCTTTGAGCGATCACTGTTCTTCTCCACAAGAGCTACCTCCTCCGCATTCCCACCAACAGCAGCACATCTGTCTCAACACTCCGTGTTCTCACCGGCAGGACTCCAGTGACCCAGGTGATCAGATTGGGCATCTAGGAGCTGAGCTTGCATCTGCTTTTCACCATGCCGGCTGAGAACCAGAGACAGCCGAGTTCGGGTAAAGCCCTGAGCAATCTAGGTGGAGGCCTGCCATCCTCGGGGCTCCAGCGGCCTGTGGACTCCTGGTGTCAGTCCAGTGGCCTCCCTGCACACCCTTCCTGGAATTCTTTGTCTTTAAAACAACCTTCCAGCAGGATGTGATGTGTGCCTGGGCTTCATAACAGCACCCCGTGTTTAAAAAACAACAACAGAAGAGAGCAAAACAAAACAAAAAACCTCCCTGGGCTGAATGGTATAGCTCACTAGTGGAGTACTGGTTTCACAAGAGGAAGGCCCTGGATTTGATCTCCAGGGCTGAAAAATGGCAAAAACAAAACAAAACAAAAATCCTCAGCAATAACTGTCCCCCAACTTCCACTTCCTGGTTAAATAGTTTGAGTGACCTCTCCTGCCTTCCCATGAGCCTTCAGTGTGACCACAGGCCTTCTCAGATGATTGCCAAAATGCAGCCTCACAGTAATGCATGCCATCCTGTCCCACCATATCTCATTTCCCAGGTGTGTGACAATCACCCAGGACCGTCCTTGGTGCCAGTCAGTGGGGAGAGTTGAGAGCTGCCTGCATCCTGGGTGCCAGACAAGGTCTCTGAGTTAGCTTCTGGAGGCTGCTGTCAGCACCTGCAGGTGGCTGAAGACAAAACACAGTTCCTCCCTCGCTCTTCTGGAGGCCAGAAATCCAGTATCACGGGGTTGAAAGCCAGGTGGTGGCAGGCCTGCACTCCCTCAGGAGCCCTGCGGGAAGGCACATTCCTGTCTTCTAGTTTGTGGCTTTCCTTGGCTCTGGCTACATCCTTTTAAAGCCTGTTTCTGCTGTTCGGTTGTCAGTGTGTGAGTGTGTGTGTGTGTGTGTGTGTGTGTGTGTGTGTGTGTGTGTGTGAGAGAGAGAGAGAGAGAGAGAGTTATCTTTGCCTATTAATAATACAACTACATGTGATTGCATTTAGGATTGACCCGGATAACCCAGGAGAATCGCTTTGTCTCAAAATAATAAACTTAACTATATTGCCAATTCTCCATAGAAAGTGATATTCAAAAGATTTGGCAACTAGTTTTTATTATGTACCTTATCATCCTTCAATACCTGTTGCTTCCGTCTGTGTTGCTTTCTTACGGGCCAGTGGAGTGTCTCCCAGTGGGTGTCAAAGGCTGCTTGGCATGGGGAAGGGGGAATGGGCAGGGATGAGGCGATCAGCGTCTACTCTAGACCTTCCCCACCCAGTTCCTGTATGTGGCCGAGGGCTGGCTATGATACTGAGAAGTGCTTGGCAGATAACAGGGTCAGTTTGTCCCAGGACGTGTTTGCAGGGCATCCTATGGGCCAAGACAAACATTCATGCTTTTGCC